GAATAAATGCGAGGAAGTCTCTGGCGGGAGCGGGGGGTAACCCGGGGGCCAGGGGCCCAGTTTGAGCATCAAGATTTCCCCTGTCAAAAAACAGGGTGCGAGCGTCGAGGGGCACACTTTGATTGAGAAAAACCGTATGCACCGGTGGGGGGGGATCAACAATAATTATTTTCAGAAATGAGAGTTCAACAGCAACAACAACATCAACAACAACATCAACAACACCAAGACCAACAACAACAGCAGCAGCATCAGCAACAACAACAGTAACAAAAGGAGGCAAAGGGAGTTTCCTTGTCGCCTTGGCGAGCCGCGACTCGAAAAGCTGGTCAAGGTCGACCCCGGCAGAGGTCCAGGGACCGATTCTGAGCGAATGTGTCTTCACCTCCCCTCGGCCACGCGCAGAGGGGAGTAGGGGGAGGGGGAAGGCTTCTTAGTAGCACCCCTGCTTCTTAGAAGGCGCGGGCCTTCTCTATAGATGTAAGGCCGCCGCAAACCCCCGTCTTCACCGACCTCCTCTGGGCTCATCCATCTCAGACCCCCGGCCGCCTCCCACATCGCCGAGCGAAGAGGGCCAACACAGCATGCAGAGACACAGACTTGCAGAGCTCCGTACGGATTCCTTGCATCGGCGCGCCGGACCGTCCTCTCCGACGCGCGGTGAGCGCGCCTCGGGCGCCGCCCTGGCGCGCGCTCCGCTCGTCAAGGGAAGGGGGGCCCAGTGCAGATCCAAGAAATCCGCGCGGAGCTCCGTCCGACAGGTAATCGACGTTGCCCATCCCGCGCGCGCGTTCCCGTCGCTTCGGGAGCTGGGCAGAAGTTACCTTTAGCTATCTCGGAAAACTACTTTTTCCTATGTGTTCCTATTTCAGATCGCTATTTGTTTCTTTGTTTCTATTTCATATTGCTGTCTTGATCCCCAGCTGTCTAAAGCCATCCGGTGTCACAACAGGTGATCGTTTTCTGGTTCATTGTTTTGCCGATCGCCGCGATTTGCCTGGCGCCTGTTTCAAGCAGGTGGGTCTCCCGAAAGAATGCACTGTTGCAAACAGTCGCATGTAGCAGAGGTCCAGAGCTAGACCCCCCCCCCTCCCCCTCCTTTCGCTCAATGTTTGGACGCCAGATTCAGAATAAGTTTCCCAGTGCACGTTTACGCAGCATGCTGTTGCCCTGATCGAGTCCAGAGCCTCACCCCTTCTCCGAGGCGGGGTGGTGCCCACCAGGACCAGATATCTGTCCAGTTCCGCCGCCTGTCGAGTTAAAGGTCCCCGCGCCGCGCACCTCCGCCCCCCGTGGCTCCTCCCCCCCTCGAGTCGGACGCAAGGGGCGGACGGGGTGGTGCGAAATCTGCCGCATGCAGGGAGCAGGGGATCAACAACAGAGTTGATGCACCCCAAATTGACCTCTTCGGCGACCGTGCATAACATGTTTGTTATTTGTATGTTTATGTGTATATATATAGATGTACATACATATATGTATATATACATATATATGTATATATTGACGTGCATGTTACGTATTCGTTTTGTCAATTTGGCGAACATATTGTTTTCCGGCGAACGTACCTAGTAGGTTGTTGTTGTTGTTGTTGCTGCTGTTGTTGTTGTTGTTGTTGTTGTTGCTGCTGCTGCTGCTGCTGCTGTTGTTGTTGTTGTTGTTGTTGTTGTTGTTGTTGTTGTTGAACATTATTCCTTCTAAAGAATTATTATTGTTGGGACCCCTGGTGCGCGACCTCTGCGCGCGACTAGCCGCAGCTACATTCATCATTTTTTCGCGAAAGCTCAGAAAAGTGGATGAGCTCCCGATCCGGCCGGATCCGGTTTTTGTTGACGCTCTTTTTTTTTTTTTTTTATGTTGGTTTTCTTTTTCATTCTTCTTTCGTTCTTTTTTATTTGGTTCGTTTTCCCTTGCAATAAAACAATAGAAAATGAAATTCTTGTTCTAATGATCAAATTGCAAGAATTCCTTCTTTTTTGCTCTTTTTTTTATTTTTTTTGTTTTTTGCAAAAAATAAGGTAAAGTGGACATTCGTGCGCGCAAGACGAAATCCTTCCAAAACCTTAGGTTTCGTAGCGATTTTAACATAAAAAAATCAAAAACCCAATGGTTTTTTAAGAAAAAATTGTCAAAATGTCCTTCCGCGCGCGCTGTCCGAATCCCACAAAACCAATGGTTTTTCAACATTTATGTTACATGAGCTCGCGCGAGCTATTTTTTCTTGTTCTAACATAATCAAATTTCAATAATCCCTTGCAAAAAAAAAGGTAAAGTGGACATTCGCGCGCGCAAGACGAAATCCTTCCAGAACCTTAGGTTTCGTAACGATTTCAACATAAAAACATCAAAAACCCAATGGTTTTTCAAAAAAAAATGTCAAAATTTCATCCCGCGCGCGCTGTCCGACTCCCACAAAACCAATGGTTTTTCAACATTTATGTTACATGAGCTCGCGCGAGTTACTTTTTCTTGTTCTAACATAATCAAATTTCAATACTCC